CCCTCCTAGGAGATAGGACACTAGTGTAGGGGTAGCGTTAGATGGGTCAAGAGGACCATATGAGAAGGGGGGTGAGTTCTCTTCATCTCGAAGCTCAAGGCCACTCAGGTAAGTGTCGTGCACCTACGGGATGCCCATGCATGTGTGTATGGTATTGATTGACCTGTTGGGGTACTCTGGGTTTCTTTTCCTACTCCTCTGTGGTCTTGATTGTGTGACTGAATGCATGTGATCTACCTACTTACCTGATGGATGGAAAATGAAGTATGTGACTGAATGCATGTGATCTACCTACTTACCTGATGGATGGAAAATGAAGTATCTTGTTATACATGCCGAGTCTTTCTACAGTGCTTTGTCTTTTCATCACTGAACGGTTGTAGTCTGTAGGTTCTTCCAGAAGTTGAAATTTCGTTTTTCAGTGCAGTTGAGACTGAACTAAGTTCAGGTGGGACTCCTCTTGGTTGGGACCTGGTTGAGACCTACGTGGGACCCTTGGGACCAAGTGGGACCCTTGGGACTCAGCGGAACCGGGCCCAAACAAGGAGAGCCTCTGGACCCAAATCGGCTAGACATCGACCTCTTGTCTTCTTGGCTGGGATGTGAGTTCATTCTTCTTGGATTAGGACACCCACTGCCGAGGGGATCTTGGCTGTGATGTTTCGCTTGTATTCTGATTGCACCATCCGTGGCTTGACTCGCACCCTGTACACCACTCAATTCTCCATTGTTGCATTTGGTCACTCGTTGTCTGATTTGCTGTATGGACACGGATCTGGTCAAGCTGGACCTGAGAGGACCTCGTATGCAGCCTGATCAGACTGGGACGCTGGATCAGACCTCTCTTTGAGTTTGATTGTTTCTTTTGCTGTTCTCTACTTCCGAATGAAATGCTGCTCCGGCTAGGAGTTCTACCTTCTCTTCACTAAGCTGTATCTGTTTTTCTGAGTTCATTTCCGTTGCCCGTGGAGACGCGCAATCTAAAAGAAGAAAGAGAGAGGAGGGAGAGAGAATAGGGAGAGAGGGAAAGTGCTAGTCTGAGGTGGGCAAGGACTGGGAAAAGGAGTGTTCGTCTAAGGGCGAGGGGGAGTGAACCTCTTGAGAGTCTGATTGATTCTTTTGCTGTCTGGGGACTCTCTGATCCACCTGCCCACACTGACAGTCCAAAGATGGCCCAACTAAATTCAACGCAATGGCGGGCCTTGTTAGATGCAGCCGGTGATGCTGAGAAACCACATCTGCAAGCACTCTTGGATGGTGCTATAAAACGGAAACAGGAGACAGAGAAGGAGAGGAAGGAGACCCTGCTAAGAAGGCAAGTGACTCTCCTAGAGACTGTCCCCTCACTGACTGAAGTGCAGTGTGGGGAACAGTTGCAGTCCATACTCACAACCTTGGTTCAAGTCCGGATCTTGAGGACCATACCACTCAGATCGCTGAAGTTTTTGCGAAGTTGCAGACTCTTCAGGATGATCTGACTGAGATGAACCGCAAGTACCATGACTTAACCAAGGAGGTGGCTGACCTGCGACAAGCCCAAGCGGCCAACCCTCTCCCTCTACCCCCTGGGACCGGAGCTACAATTGGAACTACTTTTGCCCCTCTTACTGCATCTTCTTCTACCTCTTCTTCGAGTGTGATGGCAACTTCCTCAGGACCTGCAGCAGGTGCAGATTCCATTGTTGCTGTAACAAGCAATGAGGTTGGAACTTTTGCAAGTGTTGCAGCCTCAGGATCGGAACCAGCTGCTGCTGGTCCCAGCTACGCAGGTCCCTATGTGGACCGGAAGTCGGTTCAAATGCCGTCCAAGTACGACGGCAAGGAAGACATCGAGTCCTGGATCGGCTCCATGCGGGCCTACTTCGAGATCCTGGGGACTCAAACTGAGACCCAGGCGGTGATCATGGGAATGAATGTCGAGCCGGTCGTACGGGGCTTCCTAGAAGTCCAAACAACGCGTGCTGGGTTTCCAAAGGCTGCATTAGCCAAATGGCTAAGGGCCACCCCGGTTGCCTCCCTCGAAGAACTCCTTACCTCAAAATACCAAGATCCACATGTTGCTGCTAAAGCAAGAATTCAACTGGATAAAGTGAAGCACAGCACGTGGAATGGCTCCATGAAAAGCCTGCAGACCTATCTAAGCAAGTTGTTTGCCACTCCTGGTTTGGAATTGTCCTCGCAATCTTGCTTGGATGTGGTCAAGGGCACGGTTCCAACTAATTTCACTAGTCGCCTGGGCACGGGCTACATTGCATATACAGACTGGCTCGCCTTAATGAAGGACGTAGTCGGTCTGGAGGCCATGGACCTCGTTAGCACGATAGGCAGCAGAAAGCCCATGGGCGACAGACGATTCAAGAGCAGCAACTGTTTTGCTGTGCATGACCTGCTGGAGGCCGAAGGAGAAGCCGATGCGGTTGACCCCACTCTTGGTGACGACCAAGAGCAGGACTCCGATACAGCTTGTTCTTCAGCCCATGAGTCTGACGCAAATAATGAAGAAGAAAATTTTTCTGCCTTTAAAAAGACTGCCAACACTAAGGGACTGAATCGGAGTGCCGGAAAGAGTTATGTCCAACTCCCCAAAGGAGTTAAGATCCCGCCTAAACCGGAGGATGCATCTACCAAACCGTGGGTTGGCCTCCGGATCACTGAGAATGACTGGCGGGGCAGACTCAAGAAGGGGGKTTGCTTGCATTGCCAAAAGCAAAACCATAAAGTTCAGGACTGTTATCGGCTGCAGGGAAACCAGAATCGGGCGTAGAGTCAGACTCAGCAAACTCTACAGCAAGGGAGGCTGGTTCTGTTGAAGATCAGCAACCCTCCCTTGAAGCCCAACCATCTGCTGAAGACAAGGCTGCGGTAAGTAATGTATTGTATGACGAGCCTTGGGAGGAGTCTGAGATGATTGACTTCCACTACCACTTGGAGCATTGGGCTGAAATGAAACAGCAGCGTGCCCAAGGGACAGTGAAGTTAATCTTCTTTAAACTTCTCATAAACCACCGCTATCTCCGTGTGTTAGTTGATTGTGGTGCTACAACTAACTTCATGTCACCACACGGGATACGCAAGGTGGGCTTGGGGATGAAGCAAGTGGCCCTGCAGAACCCTTGACGGACCCAAGTTGGCAACAAAGAGGTTGTCTCTTCAACACATGCAGTCAAGGGCGTGCGCACTACCTTTGACAAAGGTAAGACTGTCACCCATGCACTGAACCTCCTTGTCCTTAACAAGTGCCCCTTCGACGCTGTCCTTGGCTTGGGCTGGCTGCAGTCCCAATGCGAATGGACCAAGTGGAAGGAATCACTCTTCATGGTCAAAGATGCTCAGGGGAACGAGCTTCCTGTCCTCTTGGATGAGAAGCACGAATCCCCAGTGACTTTTCTAAATGCATTGAAATTCTGCAAGAAGTGGCGCAAGCACAAGAAGGAAGAACAAATGTATGTTGCCTTTGTTCGTCCTGCTCATGTGCCTTCTACTTTTGCGGCTAGTACCACTACTACTTTGATTAATGATCCTACTTCTAGTACTTCTACTACTAGCACCTCTACCTCTCTACCCTCTACTAGTCCAAATGATCCTACTTCAGATTCGGTCGGCTCTATACGCGACTTGCGACCGGACTTTGGTGATCCCCTTGCTGATTCCCCACCCCCACCTGTCCCATCAGACATTCAAGCCCTCCTCGATCGATTTCCGGAAGTCTTGGCTGAGCCACGTGAAGTCCCCACGCGACCGGTCCGACACACCATCGAGTTGGTCGAGGGTGCTGTTCCTCCAAAGGGCTGCGTGTACCGTATGGGACCCGGCGAGTTGGACGAACTCCGGCGGCAGATCGATGAGATGATTGACAAAGGGTGGATCAAACCAAGTGAATCTGAATTTGGTGCTCCTGTGTTGTTTGTGCCAAAGAAAGGAGGCAAACTCCGCATGTGTATTGACTATCGCGCTCTAAGCCGCATCACAAGAAAGAATGCTTACCTATTGCCTCGTATAGATGACTTGCTTGATGTTGCAGGCGGGTGCAAGGTATTCTCAAAAATCGATCTCAACTCTGGCTACCACCAGATTGAAGTCGATCCTGCTGACCAGCACAAGACTGCGTTCAAGACGCGCGATGGGCTTTACGAGTTTACCGTAATGCCCTTCGGTCTTACGAACGCACCAGCCACGTTCCAAAGCCTCGTGGACAAGGTCCTCCGCGAACAGATTGGTCGGTTCGTGGTAGTGTACCTGGACGATATCCTGATTTTCAGCAAGTCCATGGAGGAACACCTCAAGCATCTTGAGGAGGTGCTTGCCATCCTCAAAAAGACGCAGCTCCATCTCAACTTGGAGAAATCCGAGTTTGGGAGGGATAGCGTCATCTATCTTGGGCACCGGTTGTCTGCTGCAGGCCTAGAGCCCGAGGCAACCAAGATTGAGGTCATACGCGATTGGCCTCAACCTGTGAACATTCGTGAATTGCGTTCTTTTCTTGTTCTCGCGTCGTACTATCGGAAGTTTGTACCCCGTTTTTCTATCATTGCTCATCCATTGTCGCGACTAACCAGCAAGAATGTGTCTTATTCCTGGGATGCCGCGTGTACGGAAGCATTTCGAACTCTCAAGGAAGCCTTGGTAAGTTACCCGGTACTCCGCATTGCAGATCCCAAACTGACCTTCGTAGTTACTACGAATGCAAGTCAGTATGAAATCTGGTGCGGTGCTGCAACAAGATGACGACGATGGCCTGCAGCCACTCGAGTACTACAGCAAACGAATGCCCAGCGTAAAGGTAGCCACTTCCACCTACATGCGCGAGCTCTACGCTTTGTGCATGGCGTTGGATCACTGGAAACATTACCTATTGGGGCGCCACTTCAAAGTGTTCTCAGATCATGAGACCTTGAAGTGGATCAAAATGCAGACTACTCTGTCCCCTACCTTGCTTCGCTGGTTTCATGAGATTGACATCTTTGATTTTGAATTGAGACATAAAAAGGGTTGTTACAATCGAGTCGCTGACGCTTTGTCTCGCCACCCTGAGTACATGACTTGCCTTATGAAATCCTACGACCTCCGAAAGAAATTGAAGGAGGACCTCGTAGAGCAGACAACCAAGGATCCGGAACTCAGTTCCATCCTTGAGCAGCTGCATGCTGATCCTAGTAATCAGCCTGACTTCCACGAGTATGGAAGACTGATTTTTCGCCGATACGGGAACCATGACCGTTTGTGTGTGCCCAACCACGAGCCTCTCCACACACACTTTCTGGACTTGGCTCATGGCCGAAGCGGGCACTTCGGCATGGCAAAAACGTACGCTAACCTGCTGAGACAGTTTGATTGGCCTGACATGAAAGGGACTGCTGAGAAATTTATAGCTGAATGTCAAGTCTGTCAACGAATCAAACCATGTAGGCAAAAGCCCATGGGGCTACTCACACCCCTACCCATTCCTGATGGTCCCGGGGAATCTGTCTCCATCGATTTCACTGACATGGATAAGGTAAGCAAGAATGGGTTTTCACAAGTCATGGTGATTGTTGACCGATTTTCAAAGTTTCTTAATCTGATCCCTCTACCGCCTCACGCCCCAACAGATCTAGTGATTCACGAATTCCAGCAGAAATACCTGCTGCAATTCGGAACCCCGAAGACTCTTGTGAGCGATCGGGACCCGCGGTTCATTAGCGCTGAATGGAAGGAGTTCACGTNCATGTAGGCAAAAGCCCATGGGGCTACTCACACCCCTACCCATTCCTGATGGTCCCGGAGAATCTGTCTCCATCGATTTCACGGACATGGGTAAGGTAAGCAAGAATGGGTTTTCACAAGTCACGGTCATTGTTGACCGATTCTCAAAGTTTCTTAATCTGATCCCTCTACCGCCTCACGCCCCAACAGATCTAGTGATTTGTGAATCCCAGCAGAAATACCTGCTGCAATTCGGAACCCCGAAGACTCTTGTGAGCGATCGGGACCCGCGGTTCATTAGCGCTGAATGGAAGGAGTTCACGTCCCACCTAGGAATCAAACTRTGCATGACATCWGRCCGACACCCYGAAGCCAACGGTTTGGCTGAGGAGATCAACCAGACTGTATTCCAACTACTCCGTGCTTTGATCATTCCTGATCAGGAAACATGGGATGAGGAGCTGTATTCCGTCAAGGGGTTGTACAACAACTCCATCCACTCTGCCACCGCCACGACGCCCAACAGGCTGCACTACGGGTGACAGATCCGCAATCCGCTCTCCTACTTGTTCCCTGAGCAGCCGGCTGGTTTAACACCCGACAGGCCCGGCTTCAGGGCTAAGTATGATCGCTTGCTCAAAGTTGTTGTTGCAGCTACGACCAAGTGACAGCATGCCATGATTCATCATGCGAACAAGAAACGCAAACCATCGGAGATTCAGGTAGGAAGTTATGTCTGGGTAAAGATGTCTGAATTCTCAGAGGAGGAGAGAGTCTCACGCAAACTCCTCCCTCTCTACTATGGGCCTCGGAAAGTTTTGGATGTAATCGGGGAAGATTATTTTGGCCCTTCGTACGTTGTGGACGTGTCAGCTCACCTTCGCACATATCCCGTGTTTCATGCTTCTAAACTGAATCTCTATCGTGATGTCGAAACATTCGATTACCGCGAACATAGTATGACCATTTAATAAGATTAACGCCCCGGCTCCAAGGAGTGGCTCAGCTGGAGTAGCGATCTGGGTCCCTCCGGATTCTAGAGCAGAGATAACTCATTGGGTGGCTGACAAAGAACAAGGCCGATGGATATCGGCAATCCTAACGATTGAGTCAAAAGTCATATGTTTAATTAATCTATATGGTCCTAATGATATGAAAGAAAGGTTCAGGTTCTTTCAAGATATTAGAAAACAGATTCCGGATGGGATGCCCATAGTAATGGCAGGCGATTTCAACGCAGCCCCGGATAGATGGTTGGATCGCTGGAAAACTCCTTCCCCATGCCCTCCTTATATAGAGAAAGACCAAAAAATCATACAGGCATTATGCGAGAATGAGCATCTTTTCGACTCTTATCGAAGGATTTTTCCGCGTGAAAGGCTTTTCAGATGTATACGTAATCATGGGAATCGTATGCAATCTAGATCTAGAATAGACTTAATCCTGATGTCCGAAGATCTAGATAGAACTCTTCTTTGGGCAGCTATTTTTCCGCAGAATCCATGGTGTGGTGCGGATCACAAAATATGTGCAATACTCTTATCCTTCAAGAAGAAACCAGATCAAGGAAAAAAGTTTTACAAACTTAATACATCCCTGTTATCTCACAATCAGTTCAAAATATATTTATCGGATGTGTGGGAATATTTGCAATCAACAAAAAAGAAGCAAGATTCTTATATTTCGTGGTTTAACAATGGTCTGGTTTTTATTGCAAAGAAGTGTAATGAATATTCAAAACTACAAGCAAGAAATAAATATCTACAAGAAATGAATGTTCAAGAACAAATTTTAGATTATAAATCTCAGGATCAACTTGATGAATCCTCCCAAACTATCAAAATTCAAGAACTTAGGAACCAACTTTTAACCTTCATGCAACATCGTTGGCAAGGCCAATTAATCAGGGGTAAACTATCAAGATTTTCTTCTGAAGGGCAAATGGATACATCCTTTTTTGCTATGGCCCGGGCACGAGCCAAACGTTCATCCATAGAAAGTTTTTTTGATCCAGAGACTTCTCATGATCCTCTGATTGCTGCTTCCTCTGCAGCCAGTTTAAAAGTAGCCTATGATTTTTTCAAAAAACTATTTCTCTCATCCAAAGATCCCTCCTATCTTCAGGAGGATGATCAAGCCATTCGTCTCTTTCTGGAACCACTCTTCCAATCCATTAGCCAGGAACAACGTGATGCTCTAGAGAGACCACTGACGAAGGATGAAATTTGGACAGCCTTAATACAAATGGACGTAGATAAGACCCCGGGGGTGGATGGCCTCCCTAAAGAATTTTGGGAARCTATGTGGTCTTCTATTTCCTCAGACTTAATGCTTTACYTTCAAGAGGTCTGGGAGTYAGGTAAGATGRGTGAAATAGTAAGTCAGGGAATACTTACTTTACTGTRTAAAAAAGGAGATAAGGCAAACATCAGKAATTATAGACCAATAACTTTTCTAACAGTTGTGTATAAGTTGTTGGCAAAAACACTTGCAAATCGAATGATTCCAGTAATGCCCGATAYAATTCACCCCTYKCAAACARGTTTCATAAATGGGAGGCATATACAGGATAATATTATTTTAATTAACAAAATAATCAAACTCTCACGACAATCCAAAAGTAATGCTGCTTTTGTTTTTATAGATTTTGAAAAGGCTTATGACCATGTTGATTGGAGATTCTTGGATGTTTGTTTACAAAAGTTAAATTTTGGCCCTAATATGAGAAGATGGGTTAAAATTTTGCATATAAATGCTACAACACGAATTCTTGTTAATGGTTTGTTGTCACCAGAAATACATCTTCAAAGGTCAGTTAGACAAGGGGATCCGTTGACCCCTTTTCTTTTCTTAATTGTGATGGAAGCTCTGRGGGCCAATCTTAGAGYTAATCGCAACATTAAACGTCTTCATATCTCGGGTATACMTGAAGAAGTGATTCCTATAGCCTCCATGTTCGCWKWTGATCTGACCATTATGATGGAAGCCTCAAATGGAAATATGGAAGAAATCAAGAATATGCTGGACAAATTCTCGGTTGTCTCTGATATGATAGTCAATTGGGGGAATAAAACTCAAGGGTGGTGGATTCACTCTAATGGTGATCGTCCTCCAAAATCCCCTAGGGTGCAATGGTTACCCCTGGAAGCTCCACTGAGAATTYTRGGGRTATCTCTTTCTGCTTTTRGCAAACCTGTCTCCAATGATGAGTGAATTTCTAAACCTGCTAAAGAAAAAATGAATAAATGGAAAGACTTACACACCTCTCTTTTTGGCAGATCTGTAGTGATAAATAATGTAGTGTTAGCCTCGATATGGTATAAATCGGCATTATGGGCAATTAGTAAATCACGTACTAAACAACTTCAAAAACAAGTATCGACCTTTTTTTGGAGGGGAGATCATGAACAAGAAAGAGTAATTCCCAGAGTAGCATGGCTGACGTTGATTCAACCTAAGTCCGGGGGGGGGTTGGGAATTCTTGATCCTACTTTGCAAACTCAAGCTTTGTCTCTACAATGGATAATAGATCTCATTCTTGGTATTGACAAACCCTGGCAGCCCATTGGCACTAGAACAAATTAGAAGATTGGCGCCGAGATCTCCCTCAGAGACCCACCCCCTCACTTGGGTGGAAGATAGATTTTGGAACATTCCTCGCCCTAGTGCACATTCAAAGGAAGAGGGAAAGAGAGGAGCGGCTCGAGCTGACCTGCTACTAGATAACCTATGGCTTTCCCTGCTAAAAATGTGGCGTAGACTGCCCCTACCAAGTAAACCCTTTCCCTCACGATTTGAAGAGATTTTGAGGCAGCCTTTGTTCAGGAACAGATGGATAACAGACAATAATGGTTGTGTCTACAATAGTTCTAAATTTCCCTGGTCTCAATGGGTGAAAAAAGGGGTATTAAGAGTCAAAGATATTTGGGACCAAGAAAAAAAAGGTTGGATGACACCTACTCAACTTAAAAAGAAAATTTCATACGCCCACAGACTACCCCTTAACCTTGATCATATGATTTGCTTCATTCCTCTGGAATGGGTGAGGTTGCTAAAGAAAGGAGTAAGTCTACAAGAAGGAGATTGGGTAATGGTTGTGCATGATCCAGAATGTTGGCAGGTGGGTCAAATAATGAGTCTGGTGGAAGAAGGAGATTTGGTGACTCTCTTCAAAATAACCACAAATCATCTCCTCCTTCCCTTACCGGTCAACGAAGTAAAATTCTTTCCCTCCAAGGAAATCTTCAAGATTAGAGTCCTTTTCATCTCTGCAATTAAAGGATGGAGAGTTTTTCAACCACAATGCCCGATTCCAGACTTACCTTTGGACCCAGTTGAATTGGTATGGCAAACTTGGAAGAACGGTAAGCCACTCATATTGCAATCCCTCTCAGTCAAGTCAACATATCGATTATTAAGACCAAGGGTAGACGTATCGTTCATAATAAGAGATAGGTGGGTGAGACATCTGAATATTGATACTAAAAAATTCTGAAATATAAAATTTTTCAATAAGCTAAAACAGAGACCAGCAATGTTCTCCTCTCTGCAATGGCAAATACTACATAGATGCTTGCCTACTAATGACTGGTTGATAGACCGTACTACTTTGGAACAAAGAGGTTTGGCATCCCCATGGTGTAAATCATGCTTTTCTGTCTTTCCTTGCAAGAGGATCAGGGAGACTATTGAACACTTGTTCATGCAACGTCCGGGTACGGTTTTGCTGTGGAGAAGATGAGACTGTGTGTGGAGAGGTTTAACGGGAATTGACTGGCCATGGGATTGGAGAGTCATTCTACTGGGACATTGGGAACCAAATGATATACATTTGTCAGAATTTCAGAGAATTTTTTTTGAAATAGGTCGGAAAGCCATTCTGTGGGTAATATGGTACAAAAGATGTGTCTATGAAAGGGAAGATGTACAGTTGGACGGATCAGAAACTGCTGAGATCATTGTCCAATTTGTACAGATAGAAATACGGGAACATTGGAAAGTTGTCTGTGCTAAGATAAAATATTTCTATATGAAAAAGGATATTATTAATAATATTCAAAAATTCAATCTGGACTGGCTGGGGGGTGCTGAAGGGAGAAGCTTGGGAGAAGTGAAATGGCCAGGAGGAGAAGTGCAGGAGGAACCTCTAAAGCAAGACTTCCACCTGAACTTCAGGGATTGGTTTTCACTTCAACCAGGAGTCACACTTAGATCCCCGGATTGTTTCCTTGATCCCTTCCCTCCCTCGGAATTGGCAATGGTTGAGATTCAATGATATGCTTTAGGAAATGACTAGGTTTCGATTTCTCCAAAGTAAACGGTGTGGGTTGGGGAGGTAGAGAGAAAGAGGAATTAGCAGGAAATAGCAAAATCTGACGCCTAGATCAAGGTGAAGAGATTCCCCTTTCGGATTCGTCATTTATTATTTCTGAAATGGATCAAATTTATTTCATATAAGGGACGCTGGACCCGCTTTCCAGCAGGTGATACTCCCCACCAATAGATGGAGCCATCCCCTAGGTGCTAGTGGTGTCTGCTCACAACAGCATCACTATCACAGGTAGGGACGTTTTCTTAAAAAAAAAAAAAAAAAAAAAAAAAAAAAAAAAAAAAAAAATTCCTCGCTCAATCAAGGGCGGGCATGAGATAGATAGAATCAAACAACATATCGGTAAAGGGAGAAACAGACAGTACCGGGTTCATTTCATGTATCACCCGTGAGATGATCTCTACTGGATCTCCAAACAGGAACTGCTACGCAGCGCACCGCGCGTTGTTAAAGCTTACGAGTGACAGATCGCCGCTAACGCCACACCAAAGATCTCAGCAAGGCTCTCTGCAACAGAGTATTCCAGGAATCTCTTTGCCTTGCTCGCCTACGATGCGTTTGCCGAGGACTCTGAATGAGTTACTCGCTCGAAGGGACCTCGCTCTTGAGGGGGGGGTAGTGTGATAACCCGTCCAAACACGGACTGAAACACACAGCTGATTTCTGAGTTTTGCTCATAGACTGAACGCCCTACTGAGTTCCCCGCCTGCTAAGTCTGTGTGTGTGTGTGCTTGCTGGACTGCATGTCTGTCTGAGTGCTGGTTGGCTGCGTGTGTGACCATGCCTGTCTGAGTGCTGGTTGGTGTGAGTGTGTGTGTGTGTGGCCCCAGGGCACTTGTTCGTTCGTTGGGCCCTCAGGGCCGGTACTTACCTATGGCCGTGGCTTCGAAGGGTTGCAGCAGGGAAAAGCACTCAAGTAGCGGGTAGGCCGGTACCGCACCCGGCAGGGGGGTAAATATGCAGGTACCGGAGGCCGAGCAGAAGAAGACAAAAGTGGCATTTTTAGAGGCCGGTAGTGTAGGCTAGGTCTAGCGGGTACCAGTCTGAGTCTAGGGCCTGTAGGGGCAATATCAGAGTCTGCAATGATGTTCTCTCCAAAAGGAGGAAGAGGTACCGGTTGCTTGGGAAGGTCAGCGGCCTGGAAGTCACCGTCCAAGAGGCAAAGCAGGCCGCTATATCTTCCGGCCGGGCGGAAGACCCGGCCTCCTTTTCGGTGTGCAAGTTTGGCGACACACTGGTGGAGCGCTGGTGGGAGCAGCGCTGGGTTGGAGCTGCGCTGCTGGGGAGGAAGAAGAAGGACTAGAGGGAGGAAGAAGGAGGAAGGAAGGAGGAAGGGGGAGGAGCGTCAGGGGTACTTACCTGGCTATGGTGGCAGCCATCTTCATCACCTTGGTGGGCGCTGCAGCAAGGAGTCCCCAACCGGGGGGGAGCTACACCAAGAAGCTTCAAGGCAGGGCTGGGCATGGCGGCCTGAGCCGGAGCAGCCATAGCTGCTTTGAGTGGTCCTTTGGACATCGGAGCAAGGCCTAGTAGTCCGCCATAGCCTCGACCTATGTGTGTGAAGAGTGGGAGAGGCAGCCATGGCTATGGTGGACCTTGAGTGATACCGGCGGTAGAAAAGGGACTCGGACATGATTCTGGACCAATCATTCAACATTGTATTATTATTTCTTGTATGAATAAGAGAAGGGGGAGATAAGGAGGAGGCGATTGTGGGGCGAAGAAGAAGAGCCTTGTCATTGTCTTTGCTGGTGTACATCTTCTTCTTCTTTCTTACTTCTTCTTCTTCTACTACTCCTCTCTCTCCTCTCAAGTTCATTCATTTCTTTCTACAATTGAATGGCATTGTACTTTCCAGAGGATGTGTATCTCGAAATTCGTCAGGGTCATAACAAGAATATCTTGTTTTCAAAAATTTCGATTTCCTTGCTATTTCTCGTTATTTGGAAATCCGGAATATTTTTTTTCGAAATTCATTTTTCTGAAAATGGTACGGGAAATACCTCTTGCAATTATCATTTTCCAAACTGCGCGTACTCTCATCTGAGGAATTCCGAATATTTGTTTGTAGTTCTTTTCGGAATTCTTATCGGACACTCGTCTGCAGTCTCAAGGTTCGAAAATTTTCTCATTCATAATTTCGCACTTCAGGGGGAATTACTTGCAAACGAGTATTTTTTTTTTTTCTCGATTTTTTTTCCGCAAAGTTCAAACTTTTCTTTTTTGATTAGTGGCTCCTTATCTGGGCGATGTATCCCACCCACCCCTCCCCAACTCTTTTTTTTTTTTTTTTTTTTTTGGTAACCAACCATTTTCTCCCACTCACCTTTTCTTCTTTTTGAATTACCTAAGAACTCTTACCGTTGTTCCAGGAGCATGAGAATAGGCCACAGAGGTCCTACGATTATTAAAAAAACCTCGAAATCCCACACAAACCCTTCCAACGTTCTCCAAAACAATCGTACTCCCTGCCGATCTCGCGTGATCGAGCTCGGCCCCAACGACGTGGACACCGTGCGCCTCGCCCCTGAGGTCTCCGGCAGCCGATCGGCTCGACTAATCATCTGCCACGTATCCTACCTCCGTCCCCTTCCTCCTTCTCCATCTTCGCCTCCATCCAATTCCTCCTCCTCCGATAGGGAAGGCGATGACTATCCCTCTCCTATCTCTCTGTCTCCTTCCTGTTCTCTCTCTCTTACCCCGACACCATCACCATGAGCTTTGCGACGGAGCAAGTGATCGGCGCACGACTTCTTACTCCACGGGGGCGAATCAGTGTCATACGGCAAGTGCAGCGGCCCCATCTCTGCCCGGATCTCCTCCGGTTTGCGGCTTTCTTCAGTACAACGACGATCTACGAGGCGGCACAATTCCGATTCGCAGAAGAAGCAACTACGCGCGTTTTGGCCGAGATCTCAGCCTTTTAACGACTATCCCCTCCCGGAATTAGCCATATCGCTGTCGTTGTCGTCTTTACAGGGGATATCACAACGATTCCGTCGGCAAATCACTCCGACATCTATCGGACGTTGCGCACTTGGGCTGGGGAAGTGAGGACGGCGTGGGCGGATCTTCTGGCTCGACGAGGAGATACCATCGTACCGGCGCATGACATGGACCTCCAACTCCGCTCGTCTCGAAGTTCGCCCGCGATCGTGCTTCCGGAGCTTCGTTCCTTCGAGCCGCCCCAATGAGTCTTCGTCGTGTCTCCTGTTTCGGTCTCCCCTCCAGCATCCCCACCCTTTGGCAGTTTGCGCGGGCTCCCACCCTCTCTTACCGTGTTAAGCAGAACAGTGCGCCGCTATTGAGTAAGGAGAAGTGGGACGCGTGGTGGGAGAACTATATCGAGCTCGCCTTCTGCCTACTGGAGATAGAGTTCCGCTGGTAAGAGGCGGCCCCATTCGGAGAAGGGCCGGAGAACCCAGAAGACAGCGTGGAGTTTCTGATCATCCAAACCTGGAGGACAGCGGAACAGGGCGACCTACTGGGATTCCTGTTCGGGAAGGTGGAGGAGGGCAATCTCACCTTGATCGCGGACGAGTTGCTGGTGTTTTTGGCTCAGCTGGCGGACAATTTGCCCCTGGACATCTTGTCGCACAATGACAAGCAGCATGGCACCCACGTGCTGTCTCGAACGCTCGAGCCGCACCTTGTGTGGTCCACGTGCACGGAGATCGACGAGGACAATTGTTTCTATCCCTCCCAGACGCTCTACTTGAAGATCGACGTTACCGATCTCACATTTTGGGACCCGATTGCGAGACAAAACGTGGCGCAGAACGAAGAGATAAGGGGAGCAGACGAAGAAGAGGAAGAACAAGAGCCGTAGAGTGAGGAAAGGGACGATCCGGACTACGTACCGAATAGAGAGGCAGGGATAGCCGACGAATCAAACCAGCCGCAGGCGCAGGACGAGGGGGTGGAACCAGAAGAAGAAGAAGGAAGCGGGCTATCAGGATCGGAGTGCGAAGGATTCGAGGCTGAAGTGCGCAACGCGGCGCGAAAACGAGCACGAGAACGGAGGAAACGGAAGCACCAGGAAACCGCGGAGGGAAAGCGACCCCCAACAGACGTGTCCTTTGTCGATCCATCGATCGGAGACCCGTGGCGTGATCCAGAGCCGCCAGAGGAGGAAGACGATGGAACCACAGCAGAGGGATCACGGACCCGAAGAAGAAGAAGAAGTGAATCGCCAGCTTCCTCCGGCTCCCCGTCCCGATCCTCCCTTCGTCTACATCAAGATCTCGACGTTCGGGCTTCGTCCCCGGTCGTTCTCTCGCCGACCCCGTGACT